TGTTAGCTAAATAGAACACTCACAACTTCAAATAATATTTGATTACCATTTCATTTTGAACCTTTTTTTTATTATTTCATTCAATAATACAAGAGCCCCAGCTCACAAGAACTCTGATCTCAAAGGTCAACAAATCACATTACATTCAAACTCCAAGCAGTACACATTAAATGCGTGTAAATGGGTTTTGTTTTTTATCACCAATTGTGTAACAGGGATTTACTTATTAACACTGTTTAAAAAGGTGTGATAACACTTCCCAAAGTTTCTTCTCAGTGTTTGTATATACCTATGTTTACAGGTAAATACTTACAAGAACTTGTGCTCTATATTTAAAACAAAAGAAAAAAAACATCAAATTCTTTTGACGTCTATAAGGCTTAAAATTAGTTAAATGGTCCTGAAGTAATATTACGTTGATTTATAACACAGAATCCGGGTTGTTTTATCAGAATATTTGATGTAGAAAGGGTATCTAACTGAACAGTAACAACATTCAGAGAACCTCTTAGAATCTATTATGAAGCTGTACATTTCTAATCAAGATATACAGAGATTATATGAAGATAACAAAATGTATGTCACAAATATTTTTGGAATCTGATGAGGGGGGAGGGGTCATTTATAAATTCCATATTTATTTTTGTGAATATTACAAGGGTAATTTGAACGATTCTTTCCTAAAAATGAAATGTTTCAAAGACGTGATATTAAAATTCGATTATGGTATTTTATTAGTCAGTAAATTCAGCACTGCAATTAAAAAAAATATCGAAACCAAAATGTTATTTGTTTTGTGTTTGGGAGCAGGGAATGGAGGTAAGATCTGGAGACCTACTAGTGCAACTATCATCCTATTTAGATCCCAGGAACAATGAAAATAGAAATTGTTTTTTTTTGTTGCTTTTTTATATGTAACAAAGTATTTTCAAGTTTATTATTTATTGTATAAATAAATGCTTCCTTCAGTTGGAAATTGTTGGTACAAATAAGAAATGTACTTTAAGATAATTGTTAAACATGAGCATCTAAAATGTTCAGTAACTGTTTGTGTAGTTTAACTCATGGAGCTTTACCCAGCAAATCTTTATAACCTTTAGCTGAGTACTTATTCATCAAATCAATTTAAAAAAATAAAAGCTATCCCTTCTCATGGCTGGTGGCTATAATTTCCACGGGACACTATTTACACTAAGGCCCAGCCTGCAGGCCCTGTAGGTCATAAGAAGAGGAACTGAAGTATGAAGAGTGTTTCAATCACAGGCTACATCACATTAACAGAAGGTTCGGCTGTGACGTCACAGAGAGAAGAATTTCAGGAAAGCCTGAGGCTGCACTGGAATACACTCTGGGACGACAACTTTATAATCGACAGTCTCCTTGTTGCCAACTATCTCCTCTTCATTTAGTTGTTGTCGTGTCGTATGAACACAGGGATGTCCAAAAGACTGCAGAAGAATTTCAAAAAATGAGGTAAAACACAGAAGCAATAACCATTTGTACTTGGTCTGTACTTCTACTTGTGATTGGTCTGTACTTCTATGTGTGATTGGTCTGTACTTCTATGTGTGATTGGTCTGTACTTGTAAGTGTGATGGGTCTGTACTTGTACGTGTGATTGGCCAGTACTTCTGTGTTTTCTAAAATTTAGCCCATATCATTATGATTAAGACAAAAAATAAGGACTGGATTTGTGGCTTACATAATATTAACTCCAAAACTTAGGCTTTAGATAACAGTGAATACAGGTAAGTACAAACTAGATCATGTGTGTTTGCTTCTCAGATCAAGTGAACAGTGTAATGGCTCATGCTGTGATTTATTGTTTAATTGTATGGGGGGGGGGTGATTACTGTGCCATACAGCAAAATAAAAACAGAATAGAAAACAGGTTTGATCAAATAATTAAAGGTTTAAATTGTGAATATAAGTAAGTTGTAACCAATAAAAGAATTAAAGGTTTAAATTGTGAATATAAGTAAGTTGTAACCAATAAAATAATTAAAAAAGTTTAAATTGTAAATAAGTAAGTTGTAACCAATAAAAGAATTAAAGGTTTAAACTGTGAATATAAGTAAGTTGTAACCAATAAAAGAATTAAAGGTTAAAATTGTGAATATAAGTAAGTTGTAACCAATAAAATAATTAAAGGTTAAAATTGTGAATATAAGTAAGTTGTAACCAATAAAAGAATTAAAGGTTTAAATTGTGAATATAAGTAAGTTGTAACCAATATAAGAATTAAAGGTTTAAATTGTGAATATAAGTAACTTGTATCTTCAGTCAATACTGAGAAGAAAACAACTGCATTAGTTAATTTATTTCATGTTTTTCAACCATTCTTTTAATTATACTTAGATTATATGCAATATTATTGAAAAAAAAATGATATTAATTTAGGAGGTTCCACGGGTATGCAAATAAAAAATTTTGAATGAAAAATATTTGTATTCTTACCATGAAATTCACTTTTCACACAACTACACTGACTCAGTAAATTTTCTGACAAATCATTAGTAGAAATACTTTACAGAAAAGTCTGATTTTTTGTACAACATATTTTTTATGTTTATTAAAAGACAGCCAAGTTTCGTGAAATCACACAAAGTAAATTTGGAATTACAGCAATCAATAACTCTCCAGTATGGACTCAGTCCAGTGGACCAAGTCTGTGTACCTAGGATTAAACTCTGCTGGAAAAGTTAAAGATATTTAATGTATTATCTATATTAATAAAACAGCCTGTGTAGGTCAGTGCCATAGCCCCTAGGGAAAGAACCTAGTGACCTGAAACTTTGCATGCATACTAAGGGAATTCTTAGGGTGTGCACCTGGGTATTATTTTTACCTCAAAAAAATCTTGGCCATTTTTTTAGGCCTATAATTTTGTCCTACAGCCCTTAAGCCATAAAAAAAGAGAGAAGTATGTGCTGCCATCTGTTGCTTGTGCAAAAACTGTTAGGGAATAAGTGTTTAATAATAATAAAAGTGTTAGAATTCATATTATTGGCAGAAATGATTATATTTAAATGTTTGTTTGTTTACATCTATTTCTGCCAATAATGTAAAACTAAGTTTTGTAACAATGGGTTAAAAAAAACATACATAAAAGTGTTATAATTCATATTATTGGCAGAAATTATTATATTTAATTGTTTTTCCAGTTGTATCTAAAAACTATTTTCAAGGTACAGGGACAATCACTCAAAGTTGTTTATGTATTTGACCTGTATTGTGACAAGAAAAGTGAAATTTTGATCCTCTCTGTTTAAAAATAGCTAAACATCAGCCCTCTGTTCATAAGCATGTCCTAGACCTTGACAACCAGCTACATTCACAGGCATGTCGTAGAACTTGACAACCAGCTGGTTTCACAGGCATGTCCTAGACCTTGACAACCAGCTACATTCACAGGCATGTCGTAGAAATTGACAACCAGTTGGTTTCACAGGCATGTCGTAGAAATTGACAACCAGTTGGTTTCACAGGCATGTCGTAGAACTTAACAACCAGCAAGAATGCACGAAGATTTAGGTTTGCATTCTTTCATAATTAGTTTGTTGAAAGATAATCCTCAGCTCTACTTGAAATTCATAAATATACTGAATCTATACTATAAAGCAAATTGGGTCTGTGATAAACATTGTCCAGTTTCACTTTCAAACTTTCAGGGGGATTATCAAACCCCTCATTTTATTCTCTCGGGTCTGTGATAAACATTGTCCAGTTTCCTTACTTCCTATCACCTTGAAACTTTCAGGGGATTATCAAACCCCTTATTTTATTCTCTCATTTTTATGAGTTGGACAGCTATTTAAATTTCCCCCTTGCTACTTCCTTAGTGCCAGCAATTATGATATGTATGCCACTCCACTAACATAAAGCTAACAAAATAAATATCAAGCTTGGAATACGTATCTTTGCTAGTGGATACAAGAAAAAAACACAATTACTGATGAATATATATTTTTTAAGTTTTTTTTTCTTTAAAGTAAAAAATAATGGATAGAATTACATTTGTATAAAATTTTATGCAATAAAATTGAGCATTTAAAAACATACATTTTAGAAAAATAAATCAGGTATGCCTACTAAACTAATTTATTACAATATAACAACTACTTTTCTAGTTCATTACTCTTTCCACTGCTCATTATACAAAGTTCATAATTCCAAGATACTTTTTTAGATACAGACATATGAAAATAAACCTACCTTCCAAAACAGACAGCGGCAGTGTCGACACAGAAAGAGAGAATCGGCATATTCCTCCTTCAAGCCAAAGACTCTGAAATTACAGGTAAATAAGTACACAGTTTATGTTGTAAGAAATATAAGCAATGTGTATGTACGTATGTTACCAGTTAGAAATTATACTGCAATAACTGTATGTGGGCAATATAAATAACAAATTTGTGTTTTAATACGAGAAAGAAAAATATAAATAGAAAATTATACCGCTTCTAAAAATACAAATATACATACACACCAATATATAGATTACATTTGTATTTGTTTTCTTTATCATTTACTACGGTAGTGAGTGTTAAATATTTTGTTTGCATTTCTTTTGTTATCATGTAGACCAGTGTCAAGATTATCGCTTGTTATCAACAAGGGTAGGGTAAGCCAAAGGAAAAATAATGTTAAACTTCATGTATTTCATGTTATCAGCATTTTAATGTGTTTTTATAAATGTGTATACAGTATCATAAACCACAGCTTTGTAGGACAAGCAAAAATATTGCTACCAGTGTTCCTGACAGGAAATTACTGTCTAAAAGTCTTGTATGACAAGCAAAAATGCTGCTATCAATACATTCTGAGGAATTTTCACGTAAATTTATAATTTAGAACAATTAATCAATATGGACTGTAAATGTAGGAGGCTATTCAGGTAATGAATGTACAAATAATATGTTAAGTTACACAGAATAATAGCATTTAATTTCTTGGCTATTCTAGTATTAACAAATAGTTTAAGTTCTTCATCAAGATACACGCATGTAACATCGGTGACAGTCTTCATCAAGATACACGCATGTAACATCGGTGACAGTCTTCATCAAGATACACACATGTAACATCAGTGACAGTCTTCATCGAGATACACGCATGTAACATCGGAGACAGTCTTCATCGAGATACACGCATGTAACATCGGAGACAGTCTTCATCAAGATACACGCATGTAACATCGGTGACAGTCTTCATCGAGATACACGCATGTAACATCGGAGACAGTCTTCATCGAGATACACGCATGTAACATCGGTGACAGTCTTCATCAAGATACATGCAGTGACAGTCTTCATCAAGATACATGCAGTGACAGTCTTCATCAAGATACATGCAGTGACAGTCTTCATCAAGATACATGCATGTTACATCAGTGACAGTCTTCATCAAGATACTTGCATGTTACATCAGTGACAGTCTTCATCAAGATACTTGTATGTTACATCAGTGACAGTCTTCATCAAGATACTTGTATGTTACATCAGTGACAGTCTTCATCAAGATACTTGTATGTTACATCAGTGACAGTCTTCATCAAGATACTTGTATGTAACTTCAATGACACTCTTCATCAAGATACTTGTATGTAACTTCAATGACAGCCTTCATCAAGATACTTGTATGTAACTTCAATGACAGCCTTCATCAAGATACTTGTATGTAACTTCAATGACAGTCTTCATCAAGATACTTGTATGTAACTTCAATGACAGTCTTCATCAAGATACTTGTATGTAACTTCAATGACAGTCTTCATCAAGATACTTGTATGTAACTTCAAATGACAGTCTTCATCAAGATACTTGTATGTAACTTCAATGACAGATATATATAACATAGAGAAAATAAATTATAAACAGTTAAACTGACTGAGTGTTTCTACAGTTTTTATGGATGAAGTTCAAAGTTTCTTAAAACAATTTTGTAGAACCTTACTTTCGTAATCGGTGAAATACTTCTTGCCAGTCAACTCTCATTGGTCTTCCCGATTTAGTTTTAAAGGATTCAATAGCATGACGAACCTGCTGTCGAGTAAAGTGAAAACAGCACAGTTGACGCCAGATATGTTGCTCGTTGATCATAGCCTGCATTACATCATAAGCTTGTCCTGAACTAATAAGGTCTCGGTAGTCGCAAAGACGAAGTAGGATCTCTCGAATCAGTTCAGCAGGCAGGTGTGTTAGCTTTAGGCTGCCATCATCTTTGGGCTATAAAAGTTAATATTACTTCCATCATAATAACAGTCTAATAAAAATCCTTTAAAATCCACCTAAATGATAATACACTCAACCAATCTAGCAAAGAATTCAGTAAAACCTGGATATCCTCTTGGTAGCTTACAAATAAGTTAGATAATTATGGTTGTAAAAGGATGACACCCCAAACACATTAATAGTACATAAGCCCTTCTTTCAAGAAAACTCAACATTCTAAGTAACTCTGACCACTTGTACAGGATTTTGTACAACATTCTAAGTAAATCTGACCACCCGTACAGAATTTTTTTACAAAATTCTAAATAAATCTGACCACCAGAAGAGGATTTTGTACAACATTCTAAGCAAATCTGACTACCCGTACAGAATTTTGTACAACATTCTAAGCAAATCTGACCACCCGTACAGAATTTTGTACAACATTCTAAGTAAATCTGCCCACCAGTACAGAATTTTGTACAACATTCTAAGTAAATCTGACCACACGTACAGAATTTTTTACAAAATTCTAAATAAATCTGACCACCCGTACAGAATTTTTTACAAAATTCTAAATAAATCTGACCACCCGTACAGAATTTTTAACAAGATTCTAAATAAATCTGACCACCCGTACAGGATTTTGTACAACATTCTAAGTAAATCTGACCACCAGAACAGGATTTTGTACAACATTCTAAGTAAATCTGACCACCTGTACAGGATTTTGTACAACATTCTAAGTAAATCTGACCACCAGGATAGGATTATGTACAATGTTTAAAAAAAACGTGACCACCAGAATGAGATTTTGTACATTCTGAGAAAAGTTGACCACTACAACGGGATTTTGTATGTTCTAAGAAAACTTGACAACCACAATGGAATTTTGCATAGCCCAAGCGGTTCTGAAAGTTTTACGTCAAACAACTTTTTGGCAACACAAGAGTGAAATTCATTTATAATAATCCTTAAAAATTTCTAGCTCCATTTTTCTCACATATGAATCATATTTAATAGAAAAAACTCTAAGCACTGATGACTTCTTTAACTGCACGTGTCCTTAAAAGGTTTACATTATCTTCTAAAAATAATGTTTCCATTGAGCTACGTTTATCATTTTATTCTAATATATGATATTAAACAACATGGCATATTAAGGAAAATGAAAGCAATTGTTAACATCCCATTCCTCAACTCCTGAAACAAATACCCACAACCATTTTTCTTTGAGTTGTTACAATTCCAATAAACGTATCACTAGATGGAAAATGTGCACTGTTACGCTGTACGAATTTTTGTAACATAATGTAGATAAAGGACTATTTATTAAAAGCTGTTTATATATAACTTTACATAATGTTTTATTTATAAATAAAATATTTCTTACTTCTTTGATTTCTATGCTACTAGCAAACATACATATACGCTCAATAGTCTGAAGATGCTGCTCCCAGAGAAGAGTGCTTCCCAGAGGACGACCCCAACAGTAGTACTTTCTCATGGTTTTCTTCAGGTCTTGTAAAATTGCTTGAAGCATATGTATGTTCTGTTGGTTGCTAGCAACTGTAAGAAATTTTATAATGAAGTCATAATGTAAATAACCCCAAAACAACACACTTCACTGCAAAGGTATATTACCTACAATCTGACTGCATAAAGACATATGAGAGGAGGTGAAACCTCAGGACATATTTGTTCAAATATTAACTAATTTTAATTTCTATTAACTTCAAGACATTAACAATCAATATGTATATCCACTTGACAAGTGAATACAGAATTACTTGGTAGGTATTCATCACAGTAATGCTTGGTCGGGTAAACAGAATTTTTGGAACATACATAGCAGAATAAAGCAAGAAATTTCAGCAATCAAAAGGAGAATTGACGACAACTTAGACGATGTAATTGGGAAAATCAGATTGAAAAACCTGGATAATGAACTAAGAAACTACCTTCACAGTAGTTAAAACAAAATGCCAAAGTTTCAAGTTCTTCGTGTGCTCAAATATTATCACTACAACAAAGTGCAGAGAATGCATTAAGGATATACATGAAAAAATGTAACTTGTGTACATGGTTATCATCAACCAACTTTATTATCACACACAAAACTCAATATACTCTTATCTTAGAGTCATTCTGATTACGAACTTCATATAAACAGATTCATTCGATGAGAATCAAAGTTTAAAGATGAGAGAAACAACCACAACAAATATTTGACACTTCATATAAACAGATTCATTCGATGAGAATCAAAGTTTAAAGATGAGAGAAACAACCACAACAAATATTTGACACTTCATATAAACAGATTCATTCGATGAGAATCAAAGTTTAAAGATGAGGGAAACAACCACAACAAATATTTGACACGTGTATGTTCAATAACAAACATTTAATTATTGAAAGTTTTGGAATATACATATTCCCTCTTCAGCAAACTATACTCAACAAGGTAAATTATTAGGTACAAACCTTTCTACAGTTCCAAAATTTTGTAAACAGGAATTAAAGTACAGAGTAAAAGGATAAAGTTAATTTTTAAAAAAAGAGGGCAAAAATTGTTTTGTGAAACTATACAGATTATTCAAAACAGACTTGATTGTAACAAAGTTGGAAATTCATGTCACACATATATCAAATGTTTGTTGTTGTTAATGTTCTTGTTGTAAGAAATTTTATAATGAAGTCATAATGTAAATAACCCCAAAACAACACACTTCACTACAAAGGTGCATTAGGTACAATAAAAGGAGGAAGTTGTGAAATAATAGCATTGATTTTAACACTGAATAGCATGATACTCAAGACAAACCCCCGAGGGACTCCTAGTTCTTATGCAAAAGAACAAGAAAGGGTCAAACCCACATGGATTTGAAAAGTCATGTCAAGTAAAAAATTATGAATAAAAATGGGTAAATGGCTATGCCACCTATAGGAGTGAAGGTTCTGCAAAATGCTATACCTCAACGTAATGTCGTAAGCCTTCTCAAGATCAAAGAAAATGGACACAAGATGTTCTCTCTTGAGGAAGGTTTTCCTGATTGAGATTTCAAGTTGAATCAGGTGGTCCACAGTGGTGCGCTGTTGACTGAACCCACATTGGGTGGGCGAGAGCAGGTTGTTTAGTTCCTTGAGTCAAACAAGACGAGCATTAACCATCCTCTCTAAGACCTTACAGAGACAGTTAGTCAAAGCAATTGGACAATAATTATAAGGAATCTTGAGATCCTTCCAAGCCTTGCACTAAGCATCAGAAAAAATGCTCTCCTGCCAGATCCATTTAAAAACTACCAGAAGAAGAGGAAGTGAGTTAGGAGAGAGATGGTGCAGCATCTCATAGTGAACATCATTGTACTGCCAGACCGATGAAGACCAAGCTTAAGTTCCACCAGTGTAAGAGTGATTACAGTCATAGAGACGATCAGCCCAAAAAGGAAAGAGGTGATGGACAAGAATGCAGGGGAAGAAACAGAAGTGGAGAGATAAGAATAGCACTCCTCAAGAGTATCGGCAATGCTCTGTACATCAGAAACTTCCTGGCTATTGGAAAGGGTACAGGAAGCATACTTCCCATTAACCATCTGAATCTTGTTGTAGACGACTTTGGAACTAGTGGTAGAAGAGATGAAGTGGTGAACTTAACCCAAGATTCCTTCTGGCTTTGATGTCTGACCTGCCTAACATGGGCATAGGCCCACTGGAATGCAATGCAGTTGGAAAGAGTGGGATGCCTGCAAAAGGTATCCCAGGCCCATTTCTGAGGCTTCCGTGCCTGCTGGTAGGTGGGAGACCACCATGGACGAGTATGCCTTGGGAAATGTTTCAAGATTTTAGGGATAGAATGAACTGCTGCCCAAATTATACAATCAGATATTGTCTCCATGTAGTCATTAATAGATGGAAGACTAACAACAGCTGGATCTAGTTCAGAGAGAGTGGTAAAGGAAAGCCGGTCAGCCTGCTCGAACTTCCACCATGGTACTTGTGTCAGGTGACATCGACCACGGCCAACCTCCCTCAAAACAATGGGAAAATTATCACAGCCCTGTGGGTCACTGTCAACCCTCCAACAAAAAGGAGGAGAGGAACAGATAGTTAGATCAATAGCAGTAAAACACTGACTATGTGCATGAAAATAGGTAAAATAACCAGTATTGAAGAAAGAATGGTTGTGATCTGAGAGCATATGTTTCACAGAACGACCCCTCCCACGAATATCAGAACCACCCCAAAGTGGATTGTGTCCATTAAAGTCTTTCAAGATGAAACAGGGAGACAGTAATTCTTGTACTAGAGAGCATCAAGGTCCAATTGATAGTAAGTCTCTCTGGGAGACAGATGGAAAGAACAAACAGTGATGGTATGACCCATGAAGATATGAACAGCTACAACCTCCAAGGGTGTAACAAGTGGCAAAGACAAGGTGGGTACATGCTGTTCAACCAGCAGTTCCACACCTTCATGAACTCGTCCATTACACGACCTGTCATTCCTATACAAGGAAAACTGCCAAAAGGTGACAGTATCAGCTGGTGTCATGAATGTTTCCTGTAAAGAGAGACACACGAGATGATAAGAATCAATCAAGGCCTCAATGTCATCCAAATTAGAAAGAAAACCTCGACAGTTCCACTGTATCAGAGTGGCCATTATTATTTAGGTGGAAGAAAATTGGGCAAAGAACTCTTATGTTTATGACCACGATGTTTCTCTTTAGTAGAAAGAGATCTATCGACCTCTATGGAACCTGTCCTAGGTCAGTTGGGCAGATCTCTGGCAGTAGAAGGAGATTCCAGTGACTGAGGGCAAGAACAAATAATGGTTCTGCATCTCTGGCCGATGGAGAGGGACCTAAGGCAGTCACTGGATGCCATGGCAGAGACAGAGACAGGAGTAGTCTTGCCAACTCTTGTATCCATAGAGAGGAAAAGACTCTTCACATAACGTGAGAAAGACTCTGAAGGAGGCATGGAAAGATCTGTCTGCACTCCCACTGTAGCAGTGTAGAGCAGCAGAATATGTCCAAGATGTAGCAGAGGACAATTTCCAAGCTTCTAGGTAAGAAATGTTATTGACAGTTTTTTAGCATTGTACCTCTTTTTCCTTAGAACAAGAACGAAAATAATAGGGATGGAAACCACCACAATTGATGCAGTGAGTGTCCAGTTGACACTCGGAGGAATCATAGTCTTTGCCACCACAACAAGTACACATCAAAGAACCACGACAAGATGCCTTTGAATGTCCAAATCATTAACACTGGAAACATCTGAGAGAGTTAGGAATATATATGGCCATACCTTACAGTTAAAATAACCTGCCCTGACAGAGGTAAGTGGACGTGCATAATTCCTTCTTTACAAGAGGAGATACGTCTCACCACAGAAACTCCTTTGCAGGAGAAACCTGCGAGGATCTCTGACTCAGGGATGTTCTGTAAATCCCTCTCAACGATGACTCCTCTGGTAGAATTTAAAGAAGCATGGAGAGTAACTTCAATATGTATATATCCAATGGTCTTAAAATTCAGGAGGAGTTCACTGTGTTAGGTGTAGATGTTTTAATCAAAATGTCTACAGAACAGAGCTTCTTCAGTAACTTTGAAGAGCCAGCAAGTCCCTCTAAACCCTTCTAAATGAAAAAGAGACACATCTGTCCTAATTATTTCTGTCAAAAAATGAAGGATGAGAAAACGAGGTACAGAATCAGTCAGAGGTGAGGATTGGATATCAGAGTCTTCTAATCATGGTCGCTTTCTGATCAATGAGATTTTTTTTCTTTTGCAGGTCACTGGGTGTATAAGCCATAAAAAAGGAAACATATCAGTGCCCACTGACCCAACCCACCATGGAGTCCTACACAGGGGGGTGCACTACATTGTAGAGACACGAGGGTTTCGTGGACACTATACCCAAACACCAGTATCAGAAACAATGTCCATAACACCCATTGAGAACGTCCAACACTGGTACTTGGTTGACCCTCGCCCAACTAGACTAGCCTATTGACCCCTGGGTGAGCCACTCCAAGGCCGCCTGTCTACAAGAATTCAAGGCAAAAGTGGTGTGTTAAAGTGCCACTGACATAAACTGACCCATCAATGACATCCCTCAACCATGAGGATCCTCTCCTTCCTCTCAAAGGTTGCAAAGCACGGCAAACACGTGGGTGGATGTTCGGATCCCAGAGGAGGTAAACTGAAAATACAGAACCTTCCCTAGGAGGTCCCCTCACCACGTACAGTTTAGAATGAAATAATGAAGTAACCAACAAACAAACACCTTCCCTTTGAATTTTGATTTCATGAGTAGAAAATGGGCGATTAAATGCATTATTTGTAATCCCTACAAAGTTTGTAATTTCTGAAATCTTCCACTTCATGGATCACTACTTACTTTGATTATACTTTAACTTTAGATCATCGATTTATACCATTAGGTTCACAGAAGAATATCAGAAAAAACAAAACTGTAATATTAATAATGACAAACTTAAGTAAGGATATGAAGAAAGGATTTTTCAAGATTTATACTTCAAATTGGACAATTATTAAAATACATTTTCAGGCCATGGTGTTACATGATACAGACACTACAACTAATACATAAACAAAGCCTCATTATTTATTTATACGTATAGCTTAGAAAAGACTCTTTTTGAAAGTACTTTAAGTTTGAAAATCAAATTGTTTCCAACATAGTACTAGAGATAAGAGAAGTACCATATGTATAAGGAAAATAGCAAGCAAGTTGAATTTCTATCAATATGTTACTTATTTGTGAATTTAAGTCTAACATTAGTTATATAGAACTTGTACAATTTATGTAATCAGAAATATAAGACACTTTCATTAGCATTAAGTGAACTGGACATTACATTCTTAGTTTTACCAAACATTGCAAAATAATTCATCCAACAAAAGGAACCACTACAGCAAAATCTTTATAACGATCACAAATGAATAGTCTGTACATAAAACAAACCTGACAAGAACATTTAAAACACAGCTTAATAATTTTAGTTGACCCAGCAGTGGTTTTAGTAATATTTTTATGTTAATAGAAGTAAACATGGACATACCTTGGCCAGCTACTTCCTCCAACAAAGCAAAGAGTACTTTAGTTGCACAACCACTTAGTGTGGTCAAGTTTTGGCTAATGATAAGGTGTATAAGCTGTAGAAAAAAAAAGTTTTAAAATTTGTAAGGTCAAAACATATTCTCTCTCTCTCTCCTTTCTTTCATT